CTCCTCCGCCTCCTCCGTATCCGCATCCCCCCTCATCTCTGTCGGTGTTGTTTCCCCTTCCTCCCCAACCTCTTCCTACTTCTTGGTAACCCACTGACACACAGGGCTTGTACTCCTGGCGCCCCCCGCTGGCCATCTCTCTTGTTAACTTCCTGGGAGGATGGGGAGCCGACCAGTACGAGTGTCCTCCTGCTCCTCCTCCTCCTCCTCCTCCTCCTCCTCCTCCTCCTCCTCCGCCTCGCCCCTTCTCGAGCAGTCTGTTATCAGTATCCTCCACGTCGTCGAACCGCGTTACTCCTTTGCACTCCCCTGCTGCTCTCCACTGCTGCTGCTTCTGCTGCTGCTGATGCTCCTCCTCTACCTCCTCCAATTCTCCTCATCGTCGTAATAAGTATCACCGTCTTCTTATTCCACCTCCCCTTTCCTCTCCACGCTCTTCCTTCGTCGCTTATCTCCTTGATCCGATGTCAACCCATGCTAAAATTCGTCCTCCTCGGTAACCCGTTCCTCCTTCGCCTCCTGATCGCCGCCCTTCTTCACACTCACCACTCCACACTCATCTGTCGTCCCTTCGCTCTCTTCCTCCTCCTGCTTACACTGTCCTTCATCGCTGCTCCTCAAACCTTGGCGTTGCATGGAGTAGGAGTAACAATATATGCGTCACTGCATTTCATCAGATCCATTGGGGAGGCTTTGATCCTTCCCCATGTCTCTCCGTCTTCCTGCTTTTCATCCGTCCTGATCCTCGTCCTCATTATCCTGCCCCTCCCCCTCTTGCCCATCCCCATCCAATTCCACGTCTTCGCCTTATTGCCCCCTCCTCCTCATCCTCCTCCTTCTCCTCCTCCTCCTCCTCCTCGTCCTCCCCCTCTTCATACTCTCAATGTCCATCCCCATCCTTACCCCCCCCCCACCCCTCACCACCACCACCTCTCCCCCGGTGACCCCCCCCCCTCCCCCCGCCCTCTCACCCCTGCCGCGATCCCCTTCGACGCGCGCGATCCCCTCCGACGATCCCCGATCCCTCCGGCGCGACTCGACCTCCGACGCGACCCCCCTCCGGCGAGCCGCCTCCGCCTCCCCACCTCCTCGGCGGGCGGAGGGGGCGCACCCAGGCCGTGGCACCCTCGAACCCGAAGTCGTCCGGCCAGATCTGCCCGCGGCCGCGCGGCGTGCCCCCTCCTCCTCCTCCTCCCCCTCCCCCTCCTCCTCCCCCTCCTCCTCCTCCTCCTCCTCCTCCTCCTTCTCCTCCTCCCCCCCCTCCTCCTCCTCCTCCGGAGCGGCGGGAAGGCCCGAGAAGGCGAGCGAACAGCACTCAAGGGGGAGGGGCAGGGCGTGAAGCCTGGGCAGTCAACCCGTGTGTTGAGGACGCGCGGTAGGCATGCCAGGGCCTCGGAGGGCCACGTGGACGCTCTGCGAGAGGGCCGCGGCCAGCGGAAGCGGCCAAGGCTGGGCCGAAGGGGAAGGACGCAAGAGTAGCCTTGGAAAGTTGCTCGTCTTTGCTACAGTCGGCCTTGATTGGACAGGTAACGCGAGAGGACACAAGACCCTTCCGAGGGCCACATCGCCATAGGAGTGTGAGAAGGCACGTGTCGCGAGGCACAGAACACAAAGGTACCCTTGAGCTGGCAAGGTCGACCTACTAATCTGGGCCGACTGTATGCGGGTTGACTGTAAGAGGATGGGGGGGCGGCGGGAGAGGCAAAAGATGACGAGACAACCGCGCACACGCACACTCAAGCCTACTAGGCAGGACTGGGCCGAGCTGCCACCTGGGCGACGGAAAGAAACGGAAAGAAACGGGTCTCACGCGGGATGACATGGCGACCTTGCGCGGTGCCTTGATGCGGGCCGCCAGCGCGCAGCGCCGCATCGGAAACGAGGGCGCTTACGCGCGACCTGACGCGGGCAGCTTGCGCGGCAGTGTCGGTGAAGACGACCCCGTGTTCTTCCATCGCTCACCTGAAGTGGCGATGTCTCCTCAAAGGTCTGGAACATCACTGAGATGCTCGTCGCAAAAGCGGGCCAGGGACTCGAAACACTGCCCCTGATTGTGAACCCGCGGCACGGCGAGCCTAGACAAGGTGCTTGCCTAGCGGGCGGGCCACCTACAGGAAGGAGGAATGGGGAAGGGCAAGGCATGGGGTCCGTTTGGGTATGGAGTCGCGCCATGGGTGCCCGCGAAGGGAGGAGCCTCTGACGGGGGAGGCCTTCCCCCCCAAGGGTGAGGGGGGGCAACTTCAGAGGGGGGGACGGCTCAGGGGGCGGGAAGCCAGGAGCGGGCAACGCCACGGGGGCTGGCTCAGTTTGGTAGGTTTAGGTCGGGCATGTCCCCCTGCAGGCGGATTGTGGAGGAAGAACCCAAAAATACCCCCCAAAAGATTCAAACATAGCCAAAAGTAGCCAAACAATCGTCAACAGATCGCCCAGTTTGGTAGGCAGGCATCGAGCCTCGGCGTGCCCCTGACCCCAGAGGCTCCCGCCTCCTTCCCCGGTCGGGTGTGTGCGGGCACTGGCCGAAACATCCGCCGATTTCCACCCATGTTGGTGAAGCTGCAGTCGGCGCTTCCTCCCATGGGGCTGCATCGGCGCGGGATCGAAATCGAATCGTATCGGCCGCGCCGGGATGCATCACAGCGCCATGCGAACGCTGGGCCGCGTCGGATCTTCGGAATGTCGGAATCGAATCGGATCGGGCCAGCTCAAATCGACCGGATCGAAATTGCCCATGGATGGGTAAGGACGAAGGAGTGCCCCGAAAAACTGAACCGCCTGTTTGCCTGCCGCGCCCGCCCGGGAAGGGGGCGCTCGGCGCTGCTGCTGCCACTGCTGCTGCTGGTGCTGCTGTCTCCGCTCGGCATGCACGAGCAGCCCGCGAAGATGCCCGGCGGTGTGCGGAACGGGGTGGCGCGAGTAATACCTGGCCTTCCACAGAGACAGGAGGCTTCTGAGGATGGATCCGAGGCGCGATGGAGCCAAAGAGCTCCCCAGCCGTGCTTGCGCAGGTGCCTGCGCGACCCGCAGCAGGTCGCAAGCCTTCCAGCTTCGGGCCTCGGCGGCTCGGCCCGAGGGCGGGAGGGCCTCGAGGAGGCCCATCCCCGCGCCGCTCCGCCACGGGTGCCCGCGATCCGCCCCGCCGGGCCGACAGCTGCCCGCGAGGAAACGCCGCGTGCCTCTCTTCGGCATCGGCCCCGCCAAGCGGATCGAAAGTCCATCTCGGGGGGGGACCAAACAGGCTGTGCCGATGCCGCTGCTCCCCAAGGCCTCTCCTGGGGTGCGCTCTGACCAGAGTCCCGAGGAGAAGCCCGCCGTGGCGACGGGGGCTCTCCAGGACGAGCAGCGGCCTCGGTTCTGCACGGCAAGCTCCTGCCGCGACGAGCCCAGAGTTGGTCTCCGACGCCGCGTGGATCGCTCAGCCTGGAACGGTCGGCGGCTCCTCGATGGACAGATCCGTTCCATGTTGGCCGAATCTGGGCCACCGGCGGCCTTCGTGGAACGCCCGCGGCCGGGGACGCCGCTGGATACTATAGATACCTCGACGACGACGACGACGACGACGACGACGACGACGGCGACGGCGACGGCGACGGCGACGGCGACGGCGACGGCGACGGCGACGGCGACGGCGACGGACGTCGAGCACGAGGAGTGGGACGAGGGCGAAGGGGGAACCGGGCGAGGCCGACGCAGGGGCGACAGGACGAGCCCGCGGCCGAGGCCGCCGCCGCGTCGACACGGCACGACCTTGCCGGATGCCTCGTCCTTCGGGCCGGGCGAAAGGGGGGGATAGCAAATGGGGGGTTTGAGAATCAGCTCGCGTAGCTGATTTTCCCGGCGCCTCCCGGCGCCGGAGGCGTCTACGTATCGAGGAATGGGCCCCTCGGTGGGGCCGAAACCAGCTGCATGCAGCAGAGTTCGTAGCCCCCCCCCTTTCCCAATCCCCCCCTTTCGTCCGGCCCGAGCCCTCCCCCGGGCCCGCGGCGAAGGCGAAGGCGCCGCGGCGCGGGCGCCGCGCGGCCCCGCCGGGAGGCGCAGGGGCAGCGCGCGGGGGCAGTGCCGCCCGCCCTCAGCCTCCGCCCTGCCGGCGTGCACGGCGGGCCCCCTTTGGGGGCCTCCCCCCTCCTCCTCCTCCTCCTCCTCCTCCTCCTCCTCCTCCTCCTCCTCCTCCTCCTCCTCCTCCTCCTCCTCCTGCGGAAGAGCGGCCCCGGAATTCGGCGGCGAAGCCAGGCGGGGATGCAGAGGGGGCGGGGAGGCCTCTGGGGAGTCTCCCCCAGGGAGACCTCCCTACGGACCAGGGGAGGGACCTCGGGGAAGTCTCCAGAATTCTGGAGAGGAGACCTCCGGGAAGGCCTCCGAGGGGCAAACCTCCCGGAGCCTCCTCTCTAGAGGGTTCATTAAGCCTCTGAGAGGTCTCCGAGAGACCTCTGCCTCCGCCACCCTGAAGGAAGGCTTGGAAGGCCTCTGGCCTTCAGAGAAGTTGCTGCACCTTCTCCGAAGACAGAGGCAGCTTCTCAAAAGGCCAAGGGGCTTCCGAGAAGGCCCGCCGCCTTCTGAGAAGGCCTGCTCCCTCTCATCTGCCCCCCGAGCGCGCCGCCGAGGGCTAAGCAACCGCTGGTGAACCCTACCCCTGCAGGTCACATTTCTGAACAGGCGGCTGGGATGGGACGCGCTGAGACATACTAGCACCATATGTCCTCCTTGGAGGCGCGCGTCCGACCCGAACATATAGTATACCCGTCTTGTAGTGTATCGTTTCCCGAGCGGTGTGGCCAAGAAGCGCCCGCCACGACGCATATACTATAAGATTTCTCGGTGCGCGCGTCGCCCCTGGGGGGGGCGACGCACATATAGTAGAAGTATGCTGGGGTGACGCCGATGGGAGTCAAAATTCGGAAGGATGTATATGCAGCCAGTGGAACCCCAGCGGGAGCGTCCGATGCCCCACCGTCGAACGGACCCGCATGAAGGTAGGGCTCGCAAGTGGTCGTAGACGGGAGCATTCACTGCTGCAGCAGCCGGGCCGCGCTCTGCTGCAGCACGGGCGACCTCCTGGTCGGAGAGCCCTGCGCGTTCAGCCGGGCCGCCTGTGAGAATCCAAAAAATCAATACCGCTATTCCCTGGACCTCTCCTGGGGCGCGTCCAGACGTGAAAGCGAGGACCAAAGAGGCCCAAACATAGGAGTATCTTACCTTGGGGGCCGAGTAGGTAATGCCGAAAGATCGCGCCGCATCGCCAACGCATCGTCGATGCATCGTCGATGCATCACCGGCGACGTCGGCGATATATCTGCGACGTCGGCGTTGGAAACGTCGGGCGCCACAACGACCCACGTCATCGATGCGGAGCGATATTCCGACCTCATCTACTGTGACACCATTTGGGAGGCCTAGAAAGAGAAACGGCATTGGGGACGAGCAGCGGTATCACAACACACAAAAAAATCGCAAACAAAGACACCACCAAAACCCCGAACCCCCACTGTCCATTGCAGTTTCCGAGCTGGACCGATCCGTGACGGTCCCTGGCCCGAGACCAAGCGGGAACGCCAGCATCTCATGATACCGCCGTTGTTGCTTGCGCCACCGCGGCCGCCGCCGTCGGCGCCGCCGCCCCCACCGCCGACTGTGTCGCCGCCGCTGTCGTCGTCGTCGTCGTCGTCGTCGCCGTCGTCGTCGTCGTCGTCGTCGTCGTCGCCGTCGTCGTCGTCGTCGCCACCGCCGCCGCCGCCGTCGTCGCCGTCGTCGTCGTCGTCGTCGCCATCGTCGTCGTCGTCGCCGCCGCCGCCACCGCCGTCGTCGCCGTCGCCGTCTCCGTCGCCGTCGCCGTCGTCGTCGTCGTCCTCGTTTTCGTCGTCTGGGCCTGCGCGGCCCGCCCCGCGGCGCCCGCGGCGGAAGGGCCAGCGACGCGGCCCCCCGGCTCGAAGGCCGCCGCCTCCTGGCCCGCGGGCGGCGGCTCGCTGCCCGCGCGCAGCTGGGCCTCGGCGGCCTGCTGCGCCAGCTTCGCCGCCTCCGCAGGGCCGATGGGCGTGCCTGGGGGGAGGGAAAGGGAGGGGGGGCATGAGGAGGAGGGGCTGAAATCGGTGTCGAAATAAAGTCCAAATCCACAAAAATTGTCGAAACGGTGCCGAACGAGTAGCGCCTCCCAGGGCCCGACACGCGAAAAACCTCAAGTTCGGTACCTTCCTGGTGCTCGAAGTTCTCTTTGGTGATTTAGGCTAGAATAGGCTGGAACATCATAAGCCTGGGTTGAGAGAAAGGAGGGGGAGGAGGAGGGGAAGGGAGGGGAAGGAGGCGGGGGAGGAGGAGGGGGAGGGGAGGGAGGGGCAGGAGGAGGGGAAGGAGGGGGAGGAGGGAGGGGGAGGGGGGAGGGAGGGAGAGGAAGGAGGAGGAGGGGGAGGGGAAGGAGGGGGAGGGGAGGGGAGGGAGGGGGAGGAAGGGGGGGGAACCCGGGGTTGCTGCAGCCTTCGGGCCAAAGCCGAAGCGCGCGCGGGATGTTCCCGGGGAGGAGGATAATGATGATGATGGTGATGATGGTGATGATGATGACGATGATAATGATGACGATGGCGACGACGATGATGATGGTGATCCTGGGAGCTCGGCGCAAGGCTGACTCGAGAGATCTCGGGGCTCGTGCTATACAACTTGCCACCAGGCGCTCGGCACACGGCTGACTCGAGTGATCACGAGGCTCGTGGCCTGCCAGCAGGCACTCGGCAGAAGGCTGACTCGAGGGATCTCGAGGCTCGTGGTTAACCTCATGCCCGTGAGAATAAACACTAGGGAATAATAAAGTTCGGGGTTCAGGGAGAGATAATAAAAGTAGCCCAGCAGACCTCAGCATAATCTCGAAGTAAGAGATGATCACGAGGAGACCAAGCCGAGCACGTTTTGAGACATCCTTGGCGTTCAGTTTTCATAGAAATATCCTCAACAATGGCTTATCTCGCAAACGCTTTAGAAAATTGTTTTTGTAAGTGCTCGTGTAGGGTAGCGCATGTGCCTCAATTCCCATGGATGATCAACCCCAGAGATAAAAAAGTTCAGGCGAGCGTGGGGACAGAGAAAAATATAAAATAAGAAGAATACAGTAGAATAATAATAAGAAAGAAGAAGAGGATAATAAGAAGAGGACGAGGAAAAATATCCACAGTTCCAAATCTACCAATTTTAATTTACAGACGCTTTATGGAAAGTGATGTTTTAAAATGCTCGTGTAGGGTAGCTCATGTGCTTCATTTTCCATGGATAATCAACCCCGGGGATCAAAAAAGTTCAGGCGAGCGTGAGGACAGATAGAAATATAAAACAACAAGAGGAAAGTAGAAACATAATAAGAAGAGAAGAAGAAGAAGAGAAGAATAATAAGAGAAGAAGAACGAAAAAATGGAAAGTTCCAAATCTATCAATTTTAATTTACAAACGCTTTATGAAAATCGATTTTTTAAGTGCTCATGTAGGGTAACTCATGTGCTCACCTTTCCATGGATAATCAACTCCAGAGATAAAAAAAAGTTCAGGCGCGCGCGGGGATAGATACATATATAACAAGGAAGATAATATAAAAAATACAGATAAAAAAGAAAAAACTTGCTGGTTTAGCTTGAAACATCCTTGAGACATCCTTGGAACATTGCTCGTTTCGTTTGAGTCTGCCTCCCAAAATGTTTGGTTTCGCTTGAGACATCCTTGAAACATTGCTCGTTTCGTTTGAGTCTGCCTCCCAAAATTTTCGGTTTCGCTTGAGACATCCTGAAAAAGTGTGATCGCTTCGCTTGATGTTGCTATATCAACATCGATTGATGTTGCTATCTCAACATAGCGTTTCGAGGTGATAATGAAGTTCGGCCTCAGCGCCCGCCGCCCAATTTGAATTTTGCATAGGGCGACGATAATCAACTCTAAACACTGAAGGGGGGGGGCCCTTTATGGGGGAGGGGGGGTCCCTTTATTATCATCGGCATGCGGTTATACAACTTGCCGGCAGGCGGTCGGCACAAGGCTGATCCGATAGACCTCGAGGTTCGGGCCTATATTTTGCCAGCGCAAGAAAGGTCCTTGGCCGATCTGGCCAAGAAACCACTCTCGCGCTGGACTTCGAACCGCTCTCCCATGCAACCGCGGCATGGTTTGGAGCCGTCCTTGCATGGGAGACAGTTGGTACAATGCTGGGCGGCGGCGCTTGCCTCCTCGAAGGTGGCGCACTTCGGCTCGGCCGCCGCGGGGTCCTTGCAGGGGTTGGCCTTGGCCTTGGCCTTCCCCCGTTGACTAGAAAGTTCGGCCTCCGCGCCCCTCTCCACCATTAAATCCGGTTGGGCGGGGATAATGGAAATAGATGGGGGGAAAGGGGGCATGATGCACTATCGCCCGCTAACTCCTTGAAGTCGCGGCTCTTGCTCGCCGTTGAACGCGGCAAAACAAGGTTCCAGCAGCAGGAAAAGGAATCCAGCCGCGGCGACGTTGGCGGCAGGTTACCCTGTCGCGTCAACCCCCAAGCTGAAGGCCCCGCACTGCTATGCGACTGAAGGGAGAGAGAGAGAGAGAAAGAGAGACAGAGAGAGAGAGAGAGAGAGAGAGAGAGAAAAAAAAAAAATGGAAGAGAGGGAGAGAGAGAGAGAGAGAGAGAGAGAGAGAGAGAGAGAGAGAGAGAGAGAGAGAGAACACACAAACAAGAGAGCGCCACGCGCGAGGCCATGCGCCTTTTGGACACCCGCCTCGCCAGCCAAGAAGCTGCGGGCGGCGGGCTCTCGCCCCTCAATCTTCGACGCTAGGGGAAAGGAATTCGGTGGGGGGGGAAGCAAGGACGGACAGAGGGCCACCGAAAACCCAGCGGGGTCACTGCTCAAAAGTACAGCCCGCTGGTTTCGAATGCCCCCCTCAGCTTAAGCACCCACCGCTGAAAACAATCAGGTTCGGATCTTACCCTGGGGCCCACCCGAGAGGAGGGCGAAGGACACCCAGGAGCCAAAGAAAGAGAAGGCGCGCAACATTCGAGGGAGGGGCGAGCGCAGGGAAACACGCCGGCCCCCATCAAGAATTCCCCGGCGGAAACTTTGCAAAGCATTCCGCGACGCACCTTTTCCAGGCGCGGTAATGGAATTTCAACGAAATTGACCTGCACTGCGCGTGGAAGATGCGCGCCAAGGCGCTCAGGTAGACAAAACCCAGGACACCGCGGCAGGTCGAAGTCCTTTCCACGCCCGCCGGCCAGAAACGCAAAATGACACGTAAAAACAAAAACGGGAGACAGAACGAGCGGGCACAGAGGACCATGCGACAGGTCACCCTGTCGCCAGTACCACAATCCCTGGCCGACCCTCTGTAGAGCGGCCTCGCCCTCTCCGAAGGATGGCCCTTCGCATAGAGAACTGGCCACGTTGACCCAGGCCGGGGCTGCTGGTCGGCCGCGGGCGGCCCCCGGCTCGGGCGCAGCAGGACTCGGAAAGCACTCCGGCAGGCTGGCATCGGCGCTCTCACTCTGAGATCGACGGACGCCGCTTCGATCCGCAGGTTCGGGCATGGTGCCCTCCGCGCTGAGCTGACGTAGGCTGCGCGCCGCCGACGGGCTCAGCTGCGCGCCGCAACTGGCGTGGTGGGAAACCTGGCTGCTGACCGCCCGTAGTTCCACGGGACGTCGATGGGCGCGCTTGGCCCCCCGTCCGCAGCCCTGCCGGAAGTGCCCCTTGCTTTCAAAGGAGGACCAACCGGTGGCTGGTCAGAAGCAGCAGGTCGCCCTGCCGCGGGCCCCGAAGGGCCGCCACATCGCATCCGCGGGGCCAACGTAGCTGGCGGTGCAGCGCGTGGCGCTGGCCCCCTGGAGTCCGTAGCAGCTGTCTGCTGCTTTTGCTGTCGCTCGTCGCTCTTCTGCCGTGTCGGCGGAGGCTGCGGGCCCCTGCTTAGCGGGCGACCAGCAGCAGGTTGCCTTGCTGCGTTTGGATCAATCTCCTCGTGAACACAGATTGCCACCAAGTGTCCAGTTCGTCGCTGCGCGGAAAATGTGGCCGTGCTTGAGCCACCCTCCTTCGGGGTGCGTGCGATGTGGCCGCGAGCAACGCGCGTCTCCACATCGGTCAGCACTGGTTCGCAAGCCCAAGTGTCAAGGCTATCTAGCCACTCGGGCAGATCAGAGCCATGGGCCAGTCGCGAAGCATGTCAATGCGGGCCATCATCTCGTCGGTCGCACATCGCGGCGCGCGGCGCGCAGGAGGCAATCTGGCCACTGGCTTGGCGCCGATTTGCCGATGGCCATCTGTCCACTTGTTGGCGCCCCCCGCCATGGGGCCTGGTTTCCACAGTGCGCGACGCGCCCTTCAGCGGCAACGTTCGGACATCCCGGAGCCATTTGCTCGACTGGAGCCCGAGTCCTCTCATGATCGAACAGATGCCCTCTGACATCCTCGCGACGCAGTGCTCGCCTACTCGGGCGCACCGCGCCGCGCGACTCGATGTCCCAAAGCAGCGCGAACTTGAAACGCGGGCGCTTCCCATCGAGGGGATGCTCCACCAACTCAGCCTAGACAGTTGCAACGGCCTAGGGAGCTGTTCTGCAGGAACAGCATCGCCCCGTCCGCGCGCGTTTCTAACGATCAGGGTAGCCCGATCAGCAGCCAGTTCCCCCGCTGCCCCTTGCACTCTGCACTTAAGGCCAGTCTTGGCACGGCCTCTCTTCGCGCTCTCGCCCCGCGATCTCCGCCCCCGCGGAGGGGCGGCCCAGCGGGCGACGGCCGCGGGTTTGTTGCCGGCGAAGTTCGCGACGTCCTGCGTCGAGACACAAGTGGCAGCAGGTTGCTCCGCCGCGTGGCCCCCCCCCCTTTGTCGCACGGCCTGTCCTTGACGGGGCGCCCAGAACCCCCTGCGTCGAGAAAGGCCTCGTCGACGCGCGGGCCGGCGCACGCGCCGATCGCCTGTCAGAGCTCCGCGGGTTGAGGGACCTGCTGGATATTGGGGAGATCCCCGCAATGATGTCAGCGCCCCGCGTCTTTTTCGCCGCGCCCACTTCCCGGCTGATCGCCTTCGTCGCAAGCGGCCCC